TTGGTGAATCAGGTGTGCCTGACCAAAAAACAGTACCTCTCTGGTTGTTGGCATCCACCAGTGGCTCTACGGGGGGGAAATGGGCAATCTCTTCCTATGTAATTTACAGCCTCAGAAACCCAATGGAGGGTCAGCAATGGGTTTGTTCTGATAAGATGTCAATAAGTTAAATTTTGGGACCCAAGATATGAATGAGATACATAGCCATATATATATATTTGTTTGTCACTCATATCTTCCGTGCGCGCGCGTGTGTGTGTGTGTGTGTGTGTATGTATGTATAAAGGGGGAACTGTGGTGGCATAAGCCATACCAAGTTGTGCCGCATATTCAAAGGCTGTGAGTCTCTGGAAGTTTGCATCTACCAGAAGTTCTGCAAAAGACAGATAGGCAGTCTCCTTCTATTTTGATTTACAGCTTTAGAAATCTGATGGAGAGTCATATGAGTTGTAACTCATACACAACAATGAGTAAGTAATTGGTATAGTTAGGTGCTGTTGATTTGAATATAAATCATAACCCTAAAACATCAAATCAGAGTCCTGTCCTTACCTATGTATGCTATCTTTATCAGCTTCAACACTTAAGCCTAACATTGAGAAGAATGGAAATCCCAGAACACTTAATTATTCTAATATGAAACCTCTATCTAGACCAATAAACTATTGTTTGAACAGAGCAAGAGAACACTGCATGGTTTAAAATCAAGAAAGTTGTGCCTCTAGGTAGTATCCTTTCTTCATACCTATTCAATTTGCTTGCTGAGCAAATTACTTAGAGAAGCTAGACTGTATGAAGAAGGAGAATGTGATATTAGAATAGGAGATTTAACAATCTGCAGTGTTGCAAAGATGACACAACCTTGTATGCTGAAAGTGAGGAGGACTTGAAATGATTGCTGCAAAAGATCAAAAACGACAACCTTCAATATGGAGTACATCTCATTGTCAAGAAGATAATCCTCACCCCCAGGCTAATGGACAAAATCATGATAGATGGAGAAAAGACTGAAATTGTTGATGATTTAATCTTACTTGGATCCATAGTTAACATCTTTGAGACTAGCAGTCAAGATTGCATTGTCAGTTGTTGTTAGGTGCCATTAAGTTGAGTAGGATTCATAGCGGCTGTATGAACAAAAGACCTGAACCCTGTTCCTATCCTCACCATCTCTGATACACTTGAGCTGATTGCTGCAGTCACCAGCTGAGTTATGGGGTGGCATCAAAGGATATCATTCACAAAGGGAGCAAAAGTTCATCACAAAGACAGAGGAGGAAGAAAAGACCAAAATGGATGTCAGAAGAGACACCAAAAATTGCAATAAAATGTTAGAAGTTTAAAAAAGGGGGATTAAGTGCTGAAATGAACAGGAGATGTAAAAAGGCAGTTCAAGAAGACAAAGCAAAATGTTATAATAGAATGTTCAAAGATCTGGAGTTGGAGAAGAAGGGAAGAACTTGCTCAGCATTTCTAAAGATTAAAGAATTGGGGGGGGGGGACCAAACAAACACCGAAAAACTAGCAACAAAAACAAAAACAGAACACCAAATTCAAGCCTCAAGTTACCTGATTTTCCAGCATATTTTCAGAGGCAATAAATCACCTGGAATGAGATCGCCCATCTTTCTCCCTCAGAGCTGCTGGTGAATATGAACCTGTGTAGCCTTTGAGTTCACTGTGTATCTTTCTACAATCTACGCCACCAAAACTACTCTTAATAATGTACATTTAGGAACATAGAAAAATATTTAAGATACTAGTCCACTTGGGGATTGGGGTGGTTTAGTGGGTAAGAAGTTGCTCTGTCAACCCAAAGACAGGCAGTTCAACTCCATCAGCTGCTCTGAGGGAGATAAATGGGCAAGCTCCTCGTGTACAATTTAAAACCTCTAAAAGCCCACTGGAGGGTCAACTGTGAGTTGATTCCAACTCAATGGAAATAGGTTAGAGTTAGAATTAGTTGACCCCCTAGGGAGTTCTGGTACCAT